GCTCCAGCCATTTCGTCCATGCGTCGGTATCTGGATCTGCACATGCGCTCAGAACATTCATCAGCAGTTGCATCTTCCAGGTGTCAAGTTGATGGATCTTTGGCCAGGCCGGAATAGATACTCTCTCGGCCTCTTTCCTCGAGATTCTCGGTCGATCATTCTTGATCTCTCGGTTATCTCTCGATCTCCTTCGTCTCCTCCGTGTCCGATCGTCTTCTTCCTCTTCTTCTTCCTCGTCTTCCTCATCTCCTTCGTCGTCGTCATCCTCATCCTCATCATCGGGTGGATCATCCGGAGGTCCTCCTCCGCCACCAGCGAGGCTCAACTGACGTCGACCCGCTCCCTGCCCATTCCCATTGGGCGGGAATCCACCGTAATCCAATGGGGGCGTAGTACCGTTGTTTCCCCCCCCATCACCACCACCAGTCGTAGTAGTGGATTGTGGGACATGCCCAACAACCCCTTGCATCTGGGATAGGTGTACATCGATCATTGGATCACCGAAAGACGGAAAGAGGATCGAACCTGGCATCAGCGACGAATTAGGGATTTGATTTGAAGACGATGACGGGACTGACCCAGCCACCTTCTTGTCTATCCTATTTGAATTAGCCTGGGTTCCTCCCTCAGCGCGTTTCACTACTGCTCGTTCACGATGTCCATCTTTGCTGCTGGAGGCTTCCTGCATCTCCAGCTTCTTGTGTGCACGTAGTTCCTCGTTGTCAGCATCGAGTTGGCGTACAAAACTCTCTTCTTGCTTGAGCGTCGCCTCTCTTTCCTTCAGTTGTCTCTGAAGCTCATGCATCTCCTCGAGGTACTCATCGTACATTCCCTTAGCTGTCAATCTCCAGTACTCAGCCTCCTTCGACTTCTCGTCCATCGTGCACCGTTCCTCTTGTTTCTCTTCTTTGACCTGGGCTAACTCCAAGATCGCATCCTGACGATGACCACCTTCGACAGCAATCATCTGGTCCTTCATCGACACGTCGGACTCATACTGTTTGACGATCTCTTCTTTTTCGCGAAGCAAGCAATCTGCTCTCTTCGATTCCTGTTCCGCAAATACTGTAACGTCATTCAGCCTCGCCATCAGCTGTTCCCTGGAGTCCTCCAAAGAGTACGTCTCGGGGCGCTTGACGAGTGCATGCTCCAACTGTGATTTCAGACTTTGGACCATCTCCTCCTCGTTGAACTTCTCGATAGATGTAGAAGATTCTATGCCTCTGATCTGTTGCTGATAAACTGATATCTGTTGTGAAGCCTCACGGTGTATCTGATTTGCACGTATAGCTGATTCCTGCGCGGCCGACTTCTCGCTTGCCATGTAGGATTTCATCAATGCAATCTCCCGCTTCTGCTCCATGATAGTTCCTTCAGCTTGCCTCATCTGTTGCATTATAATATTCGACTCCATGTCTTTCTTCTCCCCGTACTGAAATGCGTTCATTTCCACCTTGCGCATCTGTTGGGCTTCTTCCTCAAACTTGCGCCATGCCTCAGCCATGTGGTGTTGGTGGTGACTCACTAGATGTCCCGACTGCTTGCTGGCAATCTCGCATCGTCTTTCCAGCTCCTGGATCCGGATGGTGCTTCCATAGTCTTCTTGGTTAAGATTCGCCATTGCTGCCGACATTTCATCAAGTGTCTTCTGATATTCCCCGATCTCCACCTCCATCTTATTCTTCTCTTTGATCACGGCGCGAAAATCTGCACTGGTGGGTGATTTTGACCTCCCACCCTTCGATGTCGATCTCACGCCCTTCTGCGACGTCCGTGGTGTCGCAGGCGAAGATGATGATCTTCTCGGTGGGGATTCTCTTTTCTTCGACTCCTGATGAACATCGATCTGCTTCCATGATCTTGTGGGAGTAGATATGTCGCTGAATAGCGCGGAACCTCCGCTCCCAGGTTCATCCTGTGAATCTGCAACCATATCCATCACCGCAGGAAGAGCCATCAATCCATTGGATCCCTCTGAGCTGCTGTTCCCAAAAGTTGCAGTACTTGGGCTCGCCGAAGACGCCATTGTACTGTGTAGGTTATCGTTCCTTTATTGTCCCTGTACCCGCAATAAACCAGCTGTCTCCCAGTCCAGTGTAGAGCTTGTAGTTACGGCTGATAACCTGTCAAGAGACGGCAAGGTGACGTCCCGTGGGACGCTATGCACCGAACCCTCAAGCTGTAATACCAACCACGTAGAAAGGTGTATACGGACGATGCCGTTATAGCCGAACCCGTGTAAACGTTGTAAGGGAGAAGGAATGATAGTTACAACAGTAGTCCTGACAAATGCAGCGCAAGCGAAGTGTTTTGCTCTCAATGCCGATCACGTATGTATGCAGTCACACATCAGATCTTGAACCTCAATTGTGTCTTGAGCCAAATGGCGATCAATGGAACTTGGGAAGCAACACCAACAAGGACCTCAGAACAGCTACCCAATTTCGGCACGGGGCCTAGAGGGTTTTAACACCCTCTAAGCCCAAAAAGGGTACCCCCAACAAAAGACACACTCCACACTCATGTCTCGTCTTTCTTTGAGGTAGCCTGTTCAGGGCCGTTTTTAGGGAAGCCAAGGAGAAGCTTTCCAGCATGCGGCCTGGCAGCAAACACATGTTGACCCAAAGGTGTTGCGCACTTGTTGGTAAACAGCAGGATTGGGACAACCCCTGATCGAAACATGCTTGGGCACCTTTGCTGACAAGATCCTTTCGGTTCCCCCCGTAAAGGCGACCAATTTCCCCGAACAGAACGGAAACCCCAAAGGGATTGATACCACCAAGACTCAAGTTTGCTTTGTGTTGCTAAAGACGGCCTTCAAGCATGAGCTTCTTACTAACTCATCTAAGAAACCGTATTGGTTTCTTCCAGACCCTGTTTGACGCACGCCGGGACTTCCAGCCTCGAAGCCGATCGACTCAATTCGAGCGGCTGGCGAAGGAGATCTCCGAAACGGCGAACGGTGCCTGGAGCGAACGGTGCTGAAACCAACCCAGGGCTTCCAGTTGTAGGCAACGCGGGACACTTATTGGGGCTAGGGAGAAACCCTATGAATGCAGGGAAAGCCCGGTGCTTCCAGGCAGTTCGCCACCCTAGGCAACCAGGGAACTATCCATGGTACAACCTGGTGAGAAGCCGTTTGTCTTTTGGACCCCCCCCCATCGAAAGGGTGGTGCTCCTTTGGTTCTCGTCATAAAACAGCCACAGCGACCCTCCAAAGGCAGAATCGTATGGGTGTGTGTGTGCGTCTTTGGGTATACACCCCTTTCTGGTAGGTTTCAAAGGGAAAACAGCCGGAAAACCAGTCATTTAGGTGGTTCCCTAAAACAAAACGCACCCATACCTACGGCGCGATGCAGATCACACAGGCTCCGGCCTATGAACGGCAGTTATTTCGGTCGGAGTTTTGGAAACTCTGAGGTTTTCATTTCAAGCAAGAGTCATTTCTAACAAGTATCTATCAAGTATGTTTGAGGGGGTTCCCCCTACAACGATACACAAAAAGACGTCAGTTTTATCCGGATGAATGTCCACCAAAACGACCTAATTACTCATCTACTGGGTCCATTACAGAGACACTTCAAAACTACACTCTAAATTGTGGTTGAATTGAATAAATCCGAAAAGCATTTTGAGAACCCCTCAACATGTCACTTGAACGGACTTAGACATACCAGTAGCCACCTTTCGAAGTGCCATCTGCCGGGTCAAAGTCCTTCCTAAGGATGTTTTGATTCCCATCGCCATAGGAGGTACTTGGTCCCTTGGGGTCTGGACTGGATGACCGTCCCACTTTAGTTGCTACTTGGTTGAAGAATGCTTGGCTTTAGCGCCAATGTCTGAAGCCTTCGAATTGGTCAAGTCCTGCTGGCCTTTGGTAGCACAAAAGTGCAAAGTTCCACAACCATGTGCTACTTAGATGGTCCTCCTGGGTTAAAGGCAATATATGAGAAGAGCCCCCCCCATTCAGCCAATGGAAGGCACCCCACCACACGGGCTGTAGCTCGGGTGGTAGCAATCTTCCGCCTTTCGGGCAGGCACCTCATTGCTTCATTGATCCCTAAGCACATCCTTAGGCACTCAGCGACCCGAGACTTCCTTCTTTCTTTGGTGTCCTAGGACATCATCTAAAACATATTAAGTGATGCCGAAAACCTGCTGCAAAACACACTCCAACAAACCACTTTCGCGGAACCTTTCACCTGCGAAGCAACAGCCACAACGAGTACCCCCTACTCCAAATACCAGTTTTGTTTTGCGGCATCATGTCAACCCTCTGCAAAAAAAAGTATAGATATACTTACCATGAAATTCACCAGAGCGTTGGTTTTTATTCCCTACAAACTTGCTTGGACATTTTTCAAGCTTCCGCGGACCCTTCCGCATCCTTGCCGCGGGCCAAGAGGTCCCTTCCGCGAACTTCCGCGGCACATGTGTTTCATTGTTTGCTTCCGCAAACCTTCCGCGGGGCATGGTTTACAAGTTTTGCTTCCGCGAGCATTGGCGCAGAAAGGAAAGTCATTTTAAGTGAGGTAGTGTTCCGCCGCAGCTTGTGTAGGCTTGGGCTCCATTGGGCTACCCATGCTACTTGGCCGCTTGCCTGCAAACACGGGGCCACCCTTCCGCGGAGCTTCCGCGAAGCTTCCGCAAACCTTCCGCGAAGTACGCCGGCTGTTTTGGCCTTCTTGGCTGCTGTTGCCATCTGCTCTTCGAGTAAGCGTTACGTTTCTTGTACGCAGCAACTTGTATATCAGCCACCAAGCTTCCGCAAACCTTCCGCGAACAAATCTCTTCCGCGAGCCTTCCGCATGCTTCCGCGCGTGTGGCGCGGCGCACATTTTCAATAATAATGTCCCTCTCCCCACTAAATTAGCTTGCGGGTAAAAAAACGCCGCTCACCACGGAAAACCGGGTTTTCCCAGAATACCATAAACAAGGCGGCTTTTTGGAGCAGGCGGTAAAACCACCCACCGAGCCATCAACGTGCGGATCAGGGCACCTCATTGCTTCATGTAGAGTCTCTGCCCATAGACGTCGCTCTGAAAAAGCCCCAGCTTGGGCATGCGGTAGGCATCCGTGAGGTCCAAGATCACAGCGCCTTTCGGCCACCGTCCAGCTCCCCTACAAATCAACGGTGGCTCATACCGGTGGCTTTTTATATGGTGTGTATTCAGCCTAAGAGGGGAAATCAAATTGCCCAACCTCTCGGTTCCTCATGGGAACTCAAATCAAAACATGAAGTATGGGTGATTTAGCACCCAACTTCCCCTTGGCAGGTTAGGCATGCCAAAAGTTGGCGTTTTGCACAGAACCAAGCGCAATTACAGCACCAAATGACCGATCACACAGAGAAAGGCTTGTGCGAACGGCCACAAACGGCCAACGAAAAGCTTAGAAAAGCCTAGCCTAGTTTTGTGGATTGGCCAAAGCAAGGCTGAACTTGTTGTTTGCCGCTCAAATGCTCGTTCCGCAAAGCCTAAAGTCCGCAACTCGGGAAAGTGATCAGCGGGGTTTGAAAAGCGGGTACAGGACCAGGCGTTGATCTGTTGACCCTTCGAGAAGCTAAACATGTCTCCTGGAGGAAGATGGGGTTTCTCCACTCAATGTAACTCCAAGGGAGCCAAATGCTTCGATCATTCATTCCTAAAAGTCGAGGTAGCCTGGTTTCACAGAAGTTGGAAAACATGGGCGTGTTGCTTTGGGAGACCCTTTTTTAGTGGATTCAAATGGAAGTCAAAAAGAAAACCACCGTTGTAGTGGGTCCCCTGAAAAAGGCACACGCATGTTCTAAGCCCTGAGATCAAGAGACCTTTTGAACGGAAAACCCGTCGATGCCTCGGCCCAAAATCACGGGACCCGGAAAGCAAGTGTAGAGCTCTCCACCAGGCCAATTTGCGCTTGCTAGCACTGGCCCTCAGGATTTCCGTAGGGGTATGAAAAAATCAAACCGTGTTTCCATCCCTTGGCTGCATACTTTCAATGAAAGGATACAGTTGTGATCATAGGAGAAAGACGTGTTTATGTAGGTCATGGTCATAGGATAAGACCGCTAGCCAGCCGGCTAGTCAGTCAGCGAGCCTGCTAGCCAGTTGGTCAGCGCAAAGTCACTGATGCTTTGGGCGTTGGGCCAACCAGGTGGGGTGGTGTTAACTGGAAAAACAAAAGACACTAACTACAAAACCTGTGCCGTAGTTTTATGTCTCCTTCGGCCGTGGCCACAAAAAACATCGCCAATCTAGCTTTCCAGGCGAGTCGTAATCCAAACATGGTATTACGGTTCCGCCCAACCCCTTGCAATGAGTTCAATCGGCAGTTCTTGCCACACTTATATATTTCCCTGGAATACTAACCTTCATCTACCCGTGTTGTGGTTGTCTCACTTGCCCCGGAAGGAAAGGTTACGCAACCTGTTGAAACATTGACTAAATATAAACAACACATGGAACCAAAACGGCTTCGGTTCAAGGTCGATTCGCTTTGGGCAAGTGAGCTGTTGCTCAGGCGCCTATTCTGTTTTGTCACGCAAAATATATTTGACCCCCGAAAATGGGTGGTTTTCCTGCTAGGCGTTTGGCTCATGGCCTTCACGCGGCGCGCCTGTCACGCCCCGGCCTGCCAACACAGCCATGACACACCCGCCCGCGTTACCGAAGTCACTGGATGACTTTGCCTGCTTTCAACTTTTTCGTGTTTGGTTTGTGCTACAGTCTGATGGGACCCCTGATGTTCGGTCTCTGGACCACGGGTTTATATGATCACTCAGGTGATTCTTGCCTGTGCATATTCAAGTGCTTCGCTTGTGCGGGTGGTCCAGCCCTCTGGAAACCAACCTCGGATGCTTTCGTGTCAGCCGTGCATCCGGGAACTCCTTGCAAAGCGGTCAAGCATGCGGTTCCTTTTTGTGGAGCTTTTGCTGGTTGGTCACATGCAGTACACTTCTTGCAGAAGCAGAGTGTCCAAATCAGGACCGTTGCAGCACTGGACTTGGAGGAATCCACCATCAAAAGCTGTTGTGTCTCATTTGGACCCACATGCTTTTCGCCGGGCACACCTGTGGGCTCATTCCTGCATCTACATGTTGTTCCGCCCTTTGCTTGGCATGCTGGCAGAAGTGATAGATATCGGCAGCATGCATTCTCGCCATTGCAGTGTGATCTCTGGTCTGTCAATTGCCCTTGCTGTGTTTCTTGGAGTCAATCGGGACGAAAGCAAGGATTGCATTGTGAAGGTGGCCGTGTATGGATCTGTACCACTGCCAACGCGGCTATGTCCAGACCGCTAGCCATTTGCTGTGAACAAGGGGCAGAATTCCAGTCGCACCCGGATTGCGAAGTTGTTGCCGACCTCTGGCAGCAAGCTGGCTTTCGTATTAACAGAGAAGGAGTGTTCGACCTCCAGGAGGTTGGTCCTGTCAGGAGGAGATGCTATCTCTCGGTCTTAGTGCGCAAAGTCCTGCCGTGTGCACGAGCAAGCTTGGAGAACCAACTTTTCCCAGGCCGGATTTTCTTAAGTTGTACTGGAACCCGGAGTTACTGCCAAGGACAACAAGCGTAAAAGGAGCTGACCCAATGCTGATTAAGTGAGGCTCAGCAGACCAAATCGCACACTGGCTTTGCTCATGCGCACGTATGGTGCCAATTCGACCCGGTGATGTACCGCGTTGTTTTGTCGTGTGTTAACCCAGCCATTCCCTTGACGCCAAGCGGCGCACTCTTGGCCCCCAATTGGACCAAGCAGGTGCCTTTTCCTCGGGGCAAGTAGCTGCCCTGGGGCAGTTAATGTATATCTGCAGCCAACTCAGTTTGGTCTTAATAACAGACCCTGAGGCTATGCTTATGGCACTGCCTTCTCAATATGTCGCAGTCTATGTTTGACTTCGACCTTGTAGTATTGGGTTTTGCCTCTTCCTCGCGCATCTGTCGCTTGAGGGTTGACAGTGCGGACTGTCCGTCTTTGCTTCGGCGGGGGGCGGGCAGTGAAGTCAAGCGTGACGGTGGTTTTCCTGCTGGTCTTGAAACAGTGCTTAAAAATGGCACCCTCGAAAAGAATCGACGAGCCACCCATTTCCCCGATCGACCCCATGCACCTGGAGTGACGCTCCAGGTCGCCAGTAGCTCGCCGTCGCTCTTGCCGACGATCCAGCTCCTAGCGACGGAAGTTGGGGAAGTTGATGTCAACTCGGCTGCCCTCAGATCCCCCGCTAAAAGTTTGCCTTTTAGTTGTTTAAATGGAAGCTGCCACTAAACACTAAAGGCTAAAAAGCTAAGGGGATGGCTGGGAGCCACCAAGTCAATGGGTTCGGTTGATGGGCCTGAAGTCCTGTCCCACCCCAACCACCAGAGCCAAAAACTTAAAGACCTAGGATGCAGAGCCCCCTTGTTTGCCAATACTCATGGAAGCTGACAGATGGATTTGGGAACATTACAGTCCTTTTGAAAGGACTTCCATGGTTGTTGGAAGCAAGCCATTTTAACTGGGAATCCCTGGTTGATGACGAAAACAGTTGGTCCATCCCCCGCGAGAAAAAAAAAAAAGGCCGCCGAATAAGGGTGGCCAAATATCCTCCAAAGTGGAACCGAGCAATAAGCCCCTGGGTTCCTGCCGAACATCAGCCAAAGGGGGGCCTAGGATTCACTACATCTCTAGGGGGTGCCCTTGAGAGGTACATCACTAAACACCCTATGTTACATGAATCCGGAGTCAAGGAAAAAGCACAAGATGAAATTGAATTTTCAGTTTGAACAAAACATGAAAAACGAATATGACCCCCTAGCCATCTGCGTAAGCCAATACTGAACCGATACGAAATAGAGCACCTGAAACAATACCCACAAAAAACCGCAAGGCGCATCCAAAACAAACGCCGTGGTACTGGTACGATTATGTTGCTCGTCGAGGGGTGTCTCACAAAACAGAGACCACCTGATAGATGGTTAAACTGGAATCCAACAAGAAGGCTTCTGTATTTTGGGAAGCACTTCCATTGACACCTCATTTGCCAAATCAATGCTTATGCCCATTCCAATACTAGAGTCTAGGAAGGTTGCTCAAGGGAACCATGTACATGGGCGGACTCGCTTTAGCCCTTGGTGAGCTTGGCACAAATGAGGCGAAACCCAGGTTTCTTTGAACAACTCAGGCTGAAAGATGCGTAAAAGCCGCAGCTTCGTGGGCATTGCCAGGAAAATTCGCGCTGGTGCATAACTTGGGAGCGTCTTTTATTCAGAGTACTCGTGTTTTTGGAGGAAACGAAAGGAACAGTGAATGGGTTCCAACTATCTTGAGACAACCTCACTTGGGGGGTACATTTCTCAGGGGCCAAAATGACTTTGTTTCCCCTCGGCATTCACCACATACATATGATTAACCTCACCTTTACTATTGAATGTGACATGTTGAGATGGACATGCATAACGCCAGCTTTGTGGTCCTCTTGCGCATTGGATTAATCTCCCTCGAGGAAACGCATGGCTTGCATCCAAGTAGGCAAGTATCCTCAAGAACTGGGATACTTGGGCTGTGTTCACTTCGCCATTTTTTGGGAATGATCATCACTTGAGCATCGCCGAAACCCATTGACGTGTGGGCCTAACAAAACCCCCCTGAAACGAGGTAGAACCTAGCTGAAAGGGATTTATTTTGGGCGCTGCTCCAGAGCCGCTCCAGAGCCCAAAGCGGGAAACATGCACTTTGCCCCCAGCCAAAGGGAGGGTTTGGGCCGCACATTCTCTGCTTTTTGCTCATCACCTGTCATAAATCTCAATTCTCCCAATACTTGATCTACACTTAAAAAATCCAACGAGCGGGTAGTCTCAAATGGGTACTTCACGGCTTGCGGGCTAGGGGCGAAATAAGGCTTTCATCCGCCACATCTGCCGTCATGTCTGGTAGCATGTTCAGGTACTGCACCGTCTGGTGGTCAATGATGAGCATAAAGCCGTAGCCTTCATGAGTTAAGCTCCCCAATGATACAGACTTCGAGTCCCTGCGAAAGATATGTTGCTTGCGGATACAAGGGAGTCCAGGTTGACGTGAGAGGCTAAACAAATACACGCGTTTTGCTCTGTGATTATGACTCGACTCCGGCTTGAAGTACCCCACGACTCCACTCAAACCATCATTTTGGCCCAATCCTCATGACCAAATGGATGATAGCGCGCTGGACATTTCTCAGTCAAAGCCGGCCTGGCCGAATTCACGTGGTTGATCCAAATGTGCAACGGGGGGCGGGCTCCCAACTCAACATTTTTCCCAAAGTGCAGTTTAAGTCTGGCAATGACTCCTGGCTCCAATTCGCTTCAAACGGGGCATCCCGCCGAGCCGTGCGGCCTTGCCTGCAGCCTTTGCGCGCAATGCCTTCTGTGCAAAGCCGCACCTGACCAGAAGGCCAAGGTGGGACAAATCCAAAGGGGGTGCTCCAAAGCCCGGCACGTGCCATCATGGCTTCACACACGGACATCCTCGTTGTCTGAAGTCCCTGATAAACAAAGGGTCAAACCAAGGGGGTTGTCCAAGGCAGTTGCGCAGTTTCCATCAATTCATCAGAAATCAATGTACCCTTTTCAACATCATGAACAATTGCTTCATGATTAGAGTTAGGCCCAGTTATAGAATGTATGTTTTATTGTTTGCTTCACTTTGAGTCGCTGGTAAAATGTAAAATGTATCCTAAGTCTACCCCAGGCTTTTTTCCCATCATGCGCATTTTCCACCGTAAAGCGCAGGGTTGGGGACTTGGCCTCCAAGAGAGGGGCCAACCCCAACCTGCCTCCAGGGCCCAACTCCCCAAATCCCCCACAACCTCCCCACACCCCCGCAACCCCCAACTCCTTCCCCCCCCCAAACAAAAAAGAACCACCAACCAAACAAACAAACAAACAAAACAAACAACAAACACACACACAAAAAGACAAGCAAACAAACATACAGGCCAATAACCACCACCCCAAGGTTGCCTGCCACGCCGCAGCAAGGCCACGGTGTTTGCGCCGAAGGTGGCAGGAGGCAGCTGCCCGAAGCAGCCGTCCGAGACGTGGGAGGCCAATGACATCAGCTTCACATCCCTGGCCACTCGCCACACTTCCCACTTTCCCTCCCTCGAGTCACAATCAAAACCCGGTATTAAAATGGTCCAGGTCCAGGTGGAGAATTAAGAAGCTGGCAACACCTATGGTTGGGAGTGTCCCTTACTACGCTCCAATGACCCGAGAAATTTGATTGTGACTCACTTCCGAGGACCTGGACAAAAAGCTGCGAACCTTGTGGGGCCACAAAGGATGGAGCAAAAAGGGGACCTGACCCCCTAGTCAATTTCCATCAATTTCCACTCTCTACAATCTTCTAAGGACCCTACCCATGGTCGTGTGGTTTCTCTGAGGCCCGGGTAAAGCGCCCTGTGTTCTTTTGGAACAGTAGATGGCGCTGGTGAATGCCGGGAACCAAACCAAAGCCAGTGAAATGCATGCTATGTTCAGCCAAACGGAGGATCCCTACAAAGTAGAATCCACGTCGAGGGTTTTTGGCCGGAAACTCAATCCTGGTAGGTGAGCTCGCTTTTATTTTGAGCAGACCTGCGTATTACTTGTGACCGAGATTCATGAATGAACAACCACGGTGGATTTACCCCCCTACTATGAATAAACCAAACCCTGCACCAGTGTCCATCCGACCCGCCAAACCCCCCGCCTGTACTGGGGTTGCAACTGCCAGCTCTCCACGTCACCTTCGCAGCGGCCGTTGGACCCGCACACCGGCAGCGCGGCGTTCCAGGCAGCGGGCTTCACCGAAAACCTGAAGCGTCCGAAGCAAGCCGCCTGGGGGTCCTCCAAGGCCTCCAAGGACACTAGGGCTTGGCCTTGGGAATTGAACAGAAACCGCCGTTGTTTGTTTCTTCTTACTTAGGGGGGTTAACACGTGCTCAGATGGCGGTCGGGAAAAGTGGCAGTTTCTTTCTGGTTTGTCTTTCGATACCAACCAAAAAGGGGTCCGAATCCATGTTGAGAAACCATCACACGTTACGCAGGGACGATGTGAACTTCCCTGGGATTTTTGTCCCCCCCCCCCAACATTCAATAGAAATCCCAAATTAAATGAAATGCCTGACATAACAATGTATAGGTTCCGCGAGTAGGCGACCTACGCAAAATGCGTGGCTTACCTTTACTCTCAGATAGCGTCCACCAAAGCCAAACCATTGCATATTCGATTCTTGTTTACGGCGACCACAAGTGGCAGCAGGTCACAGGGAGTCCGCCCAGAAACAGAATTGGAGGCTAAGGGCTCAATCAAATCCAGCAAGTACCCCCCCCCAATAGGAAACAACCGCCTGTTAGGGATTCAGCGTAGGACACCAGGTGGGAGTGTCTGAGAAATACTTCCATTGTGCTTCTCCAATGTGGTCTTGCCCTAAACAAAAGCGATCCTTGCCACGAACTCGCGATGAATGCGGCCAGACTTGGACCTGCAATAGGTCTTACCTGGCGTGTGGCTAAAGTAAATACGAAAAATGAATCAAGCCGTTTCCATTGGCCTGTTTGACCAGTGATGACCCTTGCCAAACCAGTTCGCAAATGAGGCATTCAAGACTTCAACCTGATTTGAAGGGAGGCTGGCATTCACATATCCTTGTTGTCTTTGCCACTTATGATCTCCACTTAAACCGTTCACCCCTTCTCTTCTCCCTTGCCCAGGCTCCCGTGGATTGGTGGTTGGGGATTGCAACCCTTGGCAGAGGGTAAATGGGAAGCTCGTGTTTCACCTCCAAACCATGAGACGGCAGCTGAAAAAGGATATCCTTTGTAGAAAAGAACAACGGTCTCCTTTTGTTCCTTGACTTGGCTACGAATTTCAGATTGAAGTGTGCATCTTGAAAGTCACCAGAAAACCGGCCTAAATGCGATTCCCACCAAAGCGTCCCCAATTGAAACTCATGCCGCTTTTAAGATGGATGTGTCTTGAAATAGGAACCCGAAGTGGTTGGCTTCCCTGTGGTATCGCAAACCAGCACAAATCTGGGTTTCCTTTGAAACATCCCTTGCGTTCAGGCCGCACCACAACAAACATCCTTAGATTCTAACTCATATTATGTTCACCTTAACATGTATATATATATATATATATATTATAGCTCATATATATATATATTATGTATTATATATCCATGTTTTTGTTCTTTTCCTGGGAAACACCAGTCAAGTTGGTGGCGCCCTCGGAAATCTGCGCGTCCCACTTTCGGGCGCGTCACTGGGCGGCGCTCGGGGCGGTCACCAGGAGCCGGGAGGCGATGAAGACCAGCTGGTATTCAAACGGCACCCTCATTTTTTCGGGGAGCTGTTTTGCCTGGCAGCTGAAAGCTTTGGGGTCTCTGCCCAAAGAAGCTCCGGGTTGGTTCGGCGCAGCTTTCAGAGAGGGTTCCGGAAGTTTCGGGGCTTCTGGGATACCGCCCCTGCATATTTGCTTCAGGGAGTTCCATTTTGGTTTGTTTTGAAGGGGTCCCGCCCTCGGCCCACTTTGACACAAACCCCATTGTTCCAAGAACTGTCATTTCAACTTGGCTGTGGGTCAAAAATATGTACCCAAAATGGGTTGCCCTGGTAAGTGGACACATGGACCAAACCCTGCGGTCTCCTGGTTTAATTTTGACCATTTGTGTAGGTGAGTTTAAAGGGAGGCTCTCACTTCTAATTATGAAGAAAGGAAGCACACGGTTCCCGTTCACGACATGGGACATTTGCGAGCCCTCGGTTTTGGTAATTACATTTTAGTGAGTCCTCCATGCCTTTGTTCAAAGGCACATCGACTACTGCATATTTTGAGTGAACCTCGCATGGACATTTGGTAAGCCCCCTTGTCATTCCCTTTACCAGTTCTACAAATGACACTGTGGGTGCGTCTCTTTTTAAGGGGACCCCCGAGAATGGTGATTTTCCTTTTAGTTGCCAAAAGAAAAACCACAAGAAAGGGGTACCCTCAAAAAAAGACACCCCCAAATATTGACCGTGGCTCAGTTCCCGTGCATAATACATGAGCCATGTATTGGATTCAGGCAAGCCTCACACCCTCCGGGTTGCTCCCTTTTGCTTGTCTAGGGGTAGAGACTTGGCTCCACGGAGAACACAGGGCCGGGAAGGCATCACACTGGAAGAGTTCCGACCAGAAAGCAATATATTTTCCGGGCACGAAGTACTGATCTATCCACGGCTGGTTGCAGGCTGGAGCTGGTCCGGCCCCAAAGCCGACCAGCTTGTGGTGCTTTGATCGCTTCGTGCTGGCTGGCCCAGGTACGAAATCAGCTCCAAAATACTAAAGTGGGCCCTGCGTAACTTTAACAGGGATCAGCGTGGTATTGGCTTGTTTCCCACTAGACAGGCTCGAAGGCTGTCAGGAAGGAGGGTTCCCAGCTGGAGGCTCACAGGCTGACAGCAGGGTGCTTTGAAGACTACTTTCCTTTTGGGGAAGCCTCATGCCCACCTCCATGATTGGAGGGAGGCAACCAACCAACCAACCGACCGACCGACCAACCAACCAACCAACCAACCAACACTCAAAAAAAAAAAAAACAGAAAACCATCTTCCCCATGCCTGGATCTGCCGCGTAGGCCGGCGTGCCGTCCAGGAAATTCCCAGCGGTGTCCTCTTCGCGTTTCAATTTTCAAAGGGATTGGTCGGCCTTGGGCCTCCGTTTGCTTAAGGCCACTGGAAATAGGAAGTCGTAGATGCCCTTTAAGACCGACAGGGGAAAACAAAGAACTTAGTCTGAAACGCGAATGGAAGACCTTGGTGAATCATAGCTCACCAAGCTAAAACCAACAAAGGATGGAGCCAAGCGGATTAGATGCATTCACCAGCCTATCATCAAGCCCACTTGGCTCTGAGATGGTTCGAAACTGCTTTGGGCTACGTGGGGTTCCGGAGGGTTCGCGGGGCGTTCCCAGCCTGTTTCGCATCTTCTGGGCTGATCTGCTTGTTGGGAACCAGCCACATCCCAGATCCAACCGCACAAAATGGCAGATTGCGGTAAATGCGACTCACCCCCAGAATATTCAACCATCTCCAAGAAGAAACGACCTCCATTTTTCACATCCTACATCCGGTCCTCGGCGAAGCAGTAGACGTCGTAGGTCGTTCCCTCCCTGAGCCCGTCCAGCTTGATGGATGCCTGGATTGAACTCGTTGGCCATACACTTCCGTCAACAGCTAATAGGGAAGCCTGAAAAGGGTACCTTGGTCCACGTTCAACCCCAAGCGTAGACTTAAACATAGTATGTTCAACCACAATTTTAGTCAAAGGCAAGCTGAAAGATGCAACCAGATGTCGACTTGCGAACTCACCTGGCAACTGGAAGCAACGTGAATCATGCTTAAACCACGTTTGTTGCAGGGCTCTTGGCTTTCGGCCAGTCGAAATGAAGCCGGGCGAACGCACTATCATTGCTGCATATCATCAACAACCTGAAGGACCCCGACAAACTGCTTGAAACCGGCGGGTGCAATCCTCACTAACCACAAAGGGCTTCTGTTTGCATACATGGCGCAAACCATGTAAAACCAACAGACATTTGGGTTCTCCCTCAAACACTCCAATTCGCGAGCACCGACCCCCTGGGCTTTTCTGCCAAATGGATAACTGCTCACGGATCTGGAACCCCACAAGGGGCTGCCCCCAACAGGAGACTCCTCTGTGAATCAGGGTCTTCGGAGAATCATGTGCCAAAAAGTATCTCTGATTGAAACAAAGCGGAAAATCTGGTATGCCATCCCGACTTGAACATGTGAATTGTCCCGTGCAGAAATTGGCCCTAAAATCTTTGTATCAAAGGAATTGCACCCCGCAAACATGAATTTCGGAGAGCCGAAAACTCGAACACCTTTGGAAACGGGTCCTATTTTGAGACACACCCAAGTGTTCAATGCGAGTTCCAAGAACAACACCCTGAAAGAGAATCCTGGAAGATCCTGCAAGCGCGTTTTCCTCTAGCAATTCTGGTTTTTGAACGTGAAGACTTGTCTCCTGGCCCAACGCTCCATGTGTCAAATAAATAGAAATGGCTTCCCTAGGCAGCACCCTCAGACAAAAAGACAGACCCATTTTGCAAATTTGAGGGCTCCAGCCAGCCACGTTACTGGGATTTTGGGACCACTTAGGACCGCTGGAACTAAAATGTACCTGTTTGTTGCTTAGTTGTTTAGTTGGAAATAATACAATTTGGACAACACACTTGACTCACTAAAACCTGGTTGCAGTTGACGTGGTAAGCTTTTGATTCCTTGCTTAGTTTGCTGGTTGAAGGTTTTAAGCTTCAAATCTCGGTGTCTCAAAATGGGACTCGGACCCCCGAAATGGCTTCAGCCTTTCACTTGGCTTCCCTTTGACCCAACCTGAAAAAGGGCCCCAACGCCAAAAACACCCATGCACCCACACGGGAGCCTGAACAAAATTGTTCCCTTTAGCTGGTATGCTGGTCAGTTGAAATTGGCTGGTTGAAAGGTCGATCCATTCAAAGTCGTGGGATCCGCGCCTTATGGCTCAAGGCGGCTTCCACGGTTTGGGTGCCCCAGGAATCCACGTTCCTGGGTCCACATCGTCAAGGCCCCAACAAGAGACGCGGAAAAGGCACCCAAAAGGAACCCCAACCCGGCCTTTGGACCCAAATGAGGGGTGTCCTTCAGTTTCCTTCAAACCAACCGTAAAAAAGGGTTGCTCGTCAATTGCGACTGTTCATCCTATGGTTGTCAACCCCCCCTCAATGGGCCGATTCTCAAACCCCAATCGGGCGATTCAATGAGCAATAACTCTCGTCTTCTTTCTTTTAGCTGTTATTTCCAGGTCCAACGAGGGCCGCTTAAAGGAAACTCACTCTAAATGGGCTCAAACAGTGATGATTAAATCCACCAAAAGGGGACTCATTTGCTTCAGAATAGAGTGTGTGCTTCAGATTATGTGTGTGTTGTTCAAATTAGGGGACCCAACAAACGCTATTGGCTTCTTTTTGGTGTCCTTCGTAAACCAACCCGCCAATTCCAAAAAGACACACCCATGTTGCTTGCCCAGGGGACTTAAGCAAATCGAAGTATTAGGTTTGTTCGGTTGGATCTGTCTGAAGGTGCGAGCAACAGCCTTCACTAGGGGATCTGATCCGCAAGTTTCAGGCTTTGGAACCATTGCACCATTTACATGTTGGGCCCCTTAAAGTTGCATGTTGGGCCTTCCAAATTACTCCGGAGAAGCTTTGAAACCGTTTCACCCTGAGGATAATTCTAAGGATCACTTGAATGAGCCCAGCATGGAACGCCATGTGGTATAACTGGTTTCTCTATCATGGCGATGGAGCAATACAATTTTTGTTCAGAGCTCCTCAAGCGCATTCGGCTATGTGAAGCAGCGCCTTTTCCACCAGACAAAAAGGACACCACCTCTTGTTTTTTCGTGGGGTAGGGATAGTGTTCTGATGGATCATCTAAGAACCCTTAAGTGGGTGAGAATCGATTGTGCCGCACTGCACTCAGGAGGGACACGCTGGCCTTAAGGGCAGCCAGCTTCTGTTCACATGATGCGTGTTAAAGAAAACAATGCATGAATCTGGGAAGCTGATGTTCAAGCAGGTCCCTTAGTTTCCAAAGCGCGAACAGTGACACTCAAAAACTAGCATTAACAGGGTCTACCCAGAAAGATGTAAAGGCGGCTTCACCCATTTATGGTGGGGAGTATCCCCTACTAACCTTCATCTACCCGGGTTTTGATTGTGGCCCAAATGGGAGAGTAGCAGCGAAGCTTCGAGTTCAGGAGAATCTCCCCTGAGGTGGGCGTCGTAGTGCCCAGTCCTATCTTTCTTTTCCACGGCTGGGATCTCGAAACTGTGCCCCCCCCTCCTAGGGTTAAGTATATGTTTGGTTCCTTTAAGGAACAAACCGTTTGTTTGCCGGGGAGCGGGTCCCTTGGGACAAGGTCACACTGTCTCACTCAGGCGCGAGTAGAATGCCCACCCACCATGCCCTTCCAACATGGAGCCGCCAGGCCCCAGGAAAATGGTTGTCCAGGAACCTCTCAGATTCCATGTTTCTTGGGAGGTGATTCCCTTGGCAAAGAGCAACTTCATACAAACAAAGCCTGCACTGGAAGTGAGCAGAATCCAGAAACAACAGCCAGGCCAGTAGTGGGAACCCAAATTCGTGCACTGGATGATGAATTTAGGGGTGTCCCACTGTAGAGGAAACTGCTCATGTGTTGGCAAATTTGTTTCAAGGTTCACATTGAGATTAGGGAATCCAAAAAATAGTCGGCCTCCTTCTTTTTCCCTTGCAAACCACTCAAAAAGAGGTACTCTCAAGAAAAGGACACACCCAATTGGCGAACACTAATGAACAATCACCAGAATCTCCCCATAAGCCAAGCATAATAGCCTGAATGAACAAACATCGCGCCACTCAGATCGCGTGCAATTCTCCTGCAAAAGTCTGCAGCTTCTGTTTCCCTGGGCGGGATAATGTTGACCCACCCGGAAGGCATCAACCCTTCGTTGCAGGGGTTTGGATGTCCATGGGAAGAGCTTGCACCTCAGAAAGGCGCCTTTTCAGGCCCACACTGCCAATGGGCTTGTGGCCGATCGCTGGGCCAGAAGAAGGCTGTCGAATAAAATGCACCTCTGAGCCCTCAGCCAGAGTTCTCGCACAAGTTTGGGGAGCAATCGACATGTGTGTGTTCCCGTTTTTTTACGGGGCACCCTTTTCACCTGCGTTTGAACGGAGACCAAAAGGAAGACCTCCTTCCATTTATTGGGTCCCCCTATTTTGACTAATTTACAACTGATGTAGTCTCAAACGGACAACTCTGCCCGAAACCCTGGACTGGTCACGTCCTGCGTCTTCCTTGGCCACACACCAGACAGTGCCATCCTCGTTCAGCTGGAAGTACACCGTCACAGCGTTGCTTTCGGACACGCTGGCCGGCAAAACCCAGCCTCGACCGAACGAAAAACGAAAAGCTGGCAAAAGTCATCGTTTCCGCAGGAGGACATGGGACATTGGTTCGTGACCCTGATTTATGGAATATTTGGGTGGCCCCCAGTCCTCCCCCAACTGACAATCGCCCAACGGCAATTTTGTGGCCGCCAAACACTGATAGTTGAGAAGCCTCGATAGCTCAAATGGGCCCTTGGCTCGGATCCTTGCTTCGGTGCAACTCGAGGGAGTGGCCAAAAGGGAGGAGTAGCTGGGATTGAAGCCTGAATGGAATCCTGTGGAATTGTCCTTGTCTGGCATGTAGACTCGTCATTTGCAACTGAAACGCTCTGCTGCCTAACAGTATGAACGAAGACACCAAATCACAGCTCAAGAGTTGGAGGGTTTGGTTGTTGATTAAACAACAAAAACTGGAACTCAAGCATGCAAAGCCCCCATTCTGAAATTCCAGTGTCCAAATAAGGGCACCCCTCAAAATAATTAGTCTCCTTTTGGTTGCCCTTTAAGCCAATCCCAAAAAAGGTACCCTCAAAAGGGCGCGCGTGTCCACACACAGGCTGTGTAGTGGAAACCCCTGCATGGGGAACTGAGGTTGCTCCCTATGTTGCGCTACACTCTGTTGGTTAACTTGCAATATGATGGACTACCGCCCTTTTTGGTTGACCGAGCAACAGCATGTCCCCCCAAAATACAATTGACTGCTTCTGATTCCTATTGTTTGTCTACCCGAAAATAACAAAATTTATGGAGGAGACCCCGGTACCGTCCTTTGCTTATGACCCACCATCAGCCTGTTCTCAAGTATCTCCTTCCAACCTGTCAGACAGCCAATCTGCGGCCCATATGCCGGCAGGCCTGGCGCCAGAAGCTGACACGCCAACATGAAGTCGCACAATCCCATGGCGTTCCACCCTTTGGTAGTTCATTTCAAGTAGGGTCACTATTTTGACTGATAACTGGGGGTGTGAAAGTCAGAAACTGGGCGGGTTTCCCTTTATCCTACCAGTTCGGGGCTGCCTTTGATGATGATTGGGCCAGTTTCAGGGAAACTACGTACAGAAAGGCAACAGAGGGCAGCATTGGAGGTCTGGTTTAATGACGCCTGCAAAGCAAACAAAAACCGCTCACATCGCCAGCCCTTGCTCCCGGTGGGGCCCCAAGGGCGCGAACCAACCCTGGCGTGAACCAACCCCGCACCTCGTCGCTGACGATTCAGTAGAGAGTCCCATGTCCCTCCCAACTGGACCATAGACCTGACCAGAGCGACAGTTTGAGGGCACCCTTACAGGCTGGCTTGAAGAGAAACCAGCGGGATATCCACCATTTCTTCGTAAGCATCCAATGCCAGACGACTTGAACTTCCCGCGTGGTCATCGAAAGACCCAACCCAGCGACATCAAAACGAGGCTTCGGCTGAAGGTGGGGGCCACGTAGTCGCCCCCGCTGGCCGTGGCAATGCTGTTCTTCGTGGACGCAATCTGCAAAAAAGCGGCGCGACTGATGGATTCCCTCTCCTTCCAGTTGCCACTAAGTATAGCAGGTAGCCAGGCGGTATTTTTACCTGTACTCACTTGTGAGTGGATTGGGCAACAAAAACTCTGAACCGTTTGTTTACCACTAAAATGGTTTTGCAGTAAAGTACAAAGTTCAGGAAATCAGGGAGTGATTCTAATTATGACATGATGGTTTCGGCTGGCTTCCTGCAGGGGAAAGGGTCTCCATGTGGTGCAACCAGCATTTGGAGCCAGTTCCAGCTCTCAGCTGAAACTATTAAAAAGCACCTGCCTTAGCTGAAACTCTCCCTAACGGGTCAAATCGTGTACCTTCTAAGGATGAGCTTAGGGGGTCTAACATGGATCCAAATACATCTCAGGCTGGGGGGTGGGGGGATTCGGACGTTCCGGGTCCAGGTCTTGAAGCCTGTATCGTCGCCTGTGCGCCCCTGGCTTCCCATTGGACCTCTGAAACGTGGGGTTAACTCTCCAACAAAGACGGTCTTTTCGAAATCCGGACAACTGGAGCATCTGCCAGGCGATTTGCTGGACATTGCTCGAGAAAGCAAGGAGGCAAGGAAGTTGCTTGCCAAGGGCATTGCCAGGATGCCAGCAAAGAAGGCCCTAAGAAGTTCAGTTGAAGATGCAACCTACTCCTGCTGAATGATAAAACGCACATTCTCCCAGAAGAACGTTCAAGACCCAACAAGTTAAAGATTCCACAAAATAGCAGCCAAGCTTGGTTGCGCTGAAGGACATCCCCTACAGCTCCTCCCACATGAACCTCCGATAAGCTTCTGGGTAGCTCCCCACCCCCCCCCCCTCCGCATAGGCGCAAGAAGAATCCCTTCATGGGTCAAAGGGACCTCCATCCTGCGGACCGTAGGACGCTGCAAGGCAGCCTTTTAGTTCTCTAGTCGCCTGCTCTCGCTCCCCCCCTGCACTCCCTGCCTGCGACAGGGTGAAGCCATTCACAAAGAGATCCTCAGCATAACCTGACCAAGGGTCGCTTTGTGCTCAGAAAGGATGTCACCGCTTCTTCTTTTTGCATGCCCCGAAAAATAATCAAAGCACCGAAACTTTGATGATGTGGTTTCAATCTCCATGTGTAAAAGGATCATCGAAACTGGATGCCATGAAAGTTGGTGTGCGACTTGCCACCTTTGAGTTTGGAGCCAGTGTGGCTGTTTGAACCGCCCACCAGCCTCTAATTCAGGCCATGTATAGCGAGTCGGCTTGTCGGCTCAGCCGCCAGTGCGGCTGTTCAAAGCTCTTTAATTAGCTGGTACCCTGAGCACTCAAATTACCGTGGTGTTTCAAGGCTGTTCAGCTGGCCATAGCCGTGTGCAACAAGGCAGCAGAATGATTGCCTTTTAGCCAAGACTCTGGCTTTGGGTGCTCAATTGCCCAAAGCTCCTGCTGCCATGGGAAAAAGAGCACCATTTCCATAGCTCCATGTTTAAAGAGGAACCCCCTCGCCAGGACAAAAAAAAAGGAGACAAGGGCACCACTGGAGGTCTGGGATCAAACATTAAGAGAACAGTGCTGTTATGTTAGTGCTGTTAGTGCTGTTAGCACTGTCCTTTTGCAAAATAGTTGGCAACAAATGACAAGACGCCAAACTGAAACCAGGGGAGTCCATCCCACCTACACAGGACCGGGACCGTGGAATCTGGACCGGGGCTCCCACAGAACACATCGTAGAGCGTGGCGGGCTCCAAGACGCCGACGGCCAAGTTGACCTCGCGACTGGAAAGTTCACCTGTTTCGCCACTCCCAGTGCCACCTCAGTAGGTAATTCAGGTAACCCTTCGGCTGTCTTATCTCTAGGTCTTCCTGGGTACCAACTATAGTGGCTTGGCCGGAAGCACTCTGGATGGCTTCATGGAATATGCATTTCAGTTGACCACAATTAAGGGTGATCACTTTGTGGGGCCACTAGACATGGTTTCCAAAAAGGGGAAACCAACACGTCAAAAGGTCGATTGGCACTTTTTGCATAGCCCGTCTCAACAAAAGGACCAGATACAGCACAACAAAATTGCCACTTCTCTGGCAACGGTCTAGAGTTCCCTTTTTGGCTCTGATTCCAAGGGGGACCAAAGCAGAACCACATTTTGGAGATTCCCTTTTTTTGGAGAGAGTCAATGTCCACAGCCGCTGTTTGGCCATTGCCCGTTTGTCCCTTGCAGGGCACTTGGCCCGAATAACAAGCATGTTCAGATTCTGGTCCATATGTAATTTCGCCTAGAATGTCGTGGGCCATATGTGGCTGTGAATCAAACACATGCGACAACGTGGCACCCTGGTAAATGGAACCAAAGACTAGAACTTGCGCAACCCTAGCTCTGCTTTTTTGAGGCATGCCCATTTGGTCTACCCTTAAGTATAGCGTCATCTTGAAGTAGACCGATTTGGCTAGTCAGCTCGGTCGAGCTGCGTAGGCGTTCGCTGTCACCGCGGCAGAGTCGTGACCATCCAAGCTACTGCCCGTCTTCATCCTCGGCACACTCTCATGCAATCCCGCCCCCACTTCCCCCTTGCCCTGTTTGCACGAAACATGACCCCTATATGGCATTCCAGAAGGAAGAGGGCTTAGAGAAGCCGGGTTGGATGCTATCACCCTACTCTTGACGGACGAAATCCAGCACCGCTTTCGCCATGCTTTGCGAAAACCCTCGCACTCCCCGTTCAACATTGGAAGTTTAAGGGCCCTTGGTTGCAAACGTGTTGGAATGACCGAAATTATGCACAACCTCTGGTGAATGCCAACAACATTGAAAAGGGGAAGCGGGGCGCGCGGCCTGTTGGCAAAGTGAATTTGGGTGAGGCGGTGCAGGATTGGGTCCATCAACAGGATGACTATCTGAAAATCTACTTGGCCGCTTCGGAGCGCCTTATTTTCTTGAGCCAAAATACAATCGAGTCGTCATCCTGTACAGCTGAACTTGAACATGCTTGGCTCCATGCGTATTGGGCTATACATTTCAACACTCCTCCTTGCTGGAGGGTGCTTGATCACCCGCACAGCAACTATACAGCGCGGTAGTCGGAGCCTGGACCAGGGCCTTACGAATCTAGAAGACTCATCTGGCCTTTACTCTTGATTTGAAGTAACACAAATCCGGAACGGTTCATTGTGTCCTTCATTTGGACTCCGGGTACTGACTTTGTCAGCACATCAGACCTGTTCCGCTTGCCTGGTATGTGTTCTACCTTTAAATGATTCATCGCCACACGTTCCTGTAACCACAGATAACGAGTTTGAATGTGGCGTGCCTTTCCCAGGCCTACTCTATTAACCGTGCCTTTGGCTGCGGTTGCATCAGACTCTACTAGAACCTCTACCTCAACTCCAAAGTCTTGAAGGAGGGATTGAAGTCCTAATCCTACAGAACCGCCTTTCACTAAAGCGAAGTACTCACTCTCTCCAGTGCTCAATGCTATCGTCGACTGGACGTTGCTTGAGTGCTTCAGTGTATGGCTACCATAGAGGGCAACCATGCCTGTAGCGCTTCGCCTAATGACAGCGTCTCCTGCATGGTCAGAATCAACCTGTATACGGACCTTCGAGGGTTTGGCTTGTCTCCCAAACACTTGACAAAGATCAGGATACTTCAGCAAATATCTGCACAGTCTCTTCAGGTCTTGCATCGCCGCCTCGGTCGGGGTGACCATCTTCCTTGAAAGATTCTTCACAGCGTGCGAAAGATCAGGACGATCTTGACTGAGGTACGCTGCTCGCATCACACTCGACCTATAAAGTGAAGCTGCTTCTCGTGCCAACGGAGGACTGTTAGCCTCCAAAAGCTGCTGCTCCACGGACTTCTTGATGTCTGGGGTCTCGGTGCCCTTCGCGTTCACCATTCCCAGATGTCTCACCAAAAGTTCCACATGACGGCGGTCAGGTTCCAAGAAAACCGCTGATTGGCCTTCGTGCATGCCAATGCGGATCAGACGATTCAAGAAATGTGCTGCGCGATCATCTCCATCCTCGTCTCCCAGCATTCCGAGCCGTTTCAGCTCGTAGGCACTCCTTAAAGTGGAATCCAGCTCATCCAAAGCTTCTTGATCACCAAGTGCAAGAAAGTCGTCTCCATGAACCAACACTCTGCACCCTGTGCTAGGCTTGTAAAAGCAGGAACCATTGCTGCGGCCACGCTGAAACCCATGCTTCAAAAGAAGCTGGGTATAATGGTCTTGCCATATTGCTGGCGCGTCTTGGCAACCGTACATGCTCTTCTCCAACAAACCACAGAAGCCTTCTTCTGCGTCTTCCGGTGGAAGTTCAACGTATATGCGTCGCTTCGGTACTCCGTAAAAGTGCGCTCGACTTATGTCCCAGAGACCGAGCTTCAGTCTCCGGCCCTTGGCTGACACCCGGTCTGTTGCCCAGGCACTCAGCAGGTAGCGCATCGCCTCCAACGGTGGCGTTGACGAGAACAGGAGGTTCTGCGGCAACTGGTCCTCCGGCTTCTTAGCTGCTTTAATTTCACGGGCAACTAATCTAGACCGGTAGTTGGGCTTTTCAGGATCTCCTTTGTTCGTGTCTAACCATCTCACCGTGATTGGACGAAGTCCCTCTGTGTAGCATTGTGTTACCGGCACCTTCCGGTAAACTCCTTGCTTCTTGAAGTAGTCCATCTCAAGAGTTCTTGCCTTCTTAACTTCTTCCGCTGGTAGAAGTCCTCCGTTCACATCATCCCAGTACTCTTCAATGTAGTCTGCTGGAACAAAAGGTTCCTCACAGATTGGCCCTGATGTGTTCGACCCTTCTGTACAAGATAAGCTTTGACTGTCCGAAGGGCAGCTTTGACCAGCGCAGGTGGGTACCTGGCGGCCTGTTTGGCAATTCCACCAATGAGGTGTACATGCCTGTGCCAGGGATCTTTCCCTGCCTTGTTGCTGCACTCACCTTCCAAGAGCTCAGCAAGCTCCCGGCTATTAGTGAGCCAACCGGTTTCTCACATAGCCTGTGCCTTGAAGACCACGGCGGTCTGTCGCCATCATCTCCCATCGGCACATCGGCCCTCGGACCAAATATGTGTCCGGGCGATCCGTCAGTTCCTTGACTTCAGGATCTTTCCACGAAGTGGCATTCCAGGGCGCCTCGTGCAAGAACAGGCGTCCTGCCTTAAGCTGCTTCCTGTAGAAGCTGCATGAGTTGTGCAAATGCTCCAATGCTTTATCCATACGGATCTTGCGTTGACCCGGGCTGACCCTGTACTTGTTGATGTTCTGCAAGTGGCTGAATTGATCACACGGCGGACTCCCAGTCAGTAGTACTGGTTCGTCGCGATCAATCAGTTGGTTTACGGCCCCGACGTCTTCTGGCCTGCTAAGGTCCCAGAACGAACCGTCGGGTTTAGCCTCCTCAAGGTCGATTGCGAAACCAGGCTTTAAACCAAACCTGCTCGCCTCCTTAGAGAATCGTGCTGGACTGTACACTTCCATGATGTGTACTGCGCTTAGCTCACAGCTTATGTTGGCTAGAGTCTCAATTTCCACTGACGAGATCTCTACCTCCTGCTGCTCATAAACCTGCTTGATTCTCCTTTCGATCATCCTCTTCACCACCTCCTTTGCCCTGCTCAAAGACAGTCCGGGGGCTGCCCTGGAGTAGTTGCTCCAGCAGGTGGTGGGCTCTCCAGTCTGATCTCTCAAATCTTCAACTGATACCTCAGGTTCTCTCTTCTCTCCTTGGGGTGGCTGGACCTTCAGCTTAGGTCCAGCGGCTATCCTGAGTTCTCCCCGTTTTTTGTGAGGCTTGATCGGTGAGGCTTTAGCCTTACTCCCTGCAGGCGTACTGCTACTGCTAGGCTCTGCAGGTGCACGTTTCAGGCTTGACATCTCCTCTAGGTTGTCAGGGCATGGCAAAATGCCTTCATCCCTGCGTTCCTCACTAGCTTGCACGGCCTTGTCGGCCGGCGCTCCAGCTGCGTCGTCAGCTGTCACATCCCTCTCAGGGGCCTCGTTCTTCTCATCCCTTTTCGGTCTCGTCTTCCTCTCGTGTTCTTCCAATCTACTCTTGCCTTCCTCATCTTGTTGCATCAGAGTCACAATTCTGGCTCTGCATGCTTCCGTGTGTGGCAACACGGTAGATTGGCCCAGCAAAATGCATGTGCATCCTGGGCACCCATGTGTAGGCGTGTGCTTCTCGACGTCTGCCTTCCGGATGTAGATCCTCTTCTGCATAGGTGGCGCCATGACATGAACTGCCGGTCCTTGGCTCTCCAACCAAGACAACGGCTTCTCCAGCCGCTCCGGCACGTGGCGTGCCCGGTGACCTTCGTGCAGTCACCTCCCATGGAAGCCCTCGTAGGGCATCCCAACCGTCGGCTACCCAACGGTCACAGTCCGCCAGTCTGCGGACTCCAGTGCCTCTCTTGACACCATCTGCTGTGATCACCAAAACTGATCCGGTACGACCATGGTGGCCGATGTACCGGCCTTCCTTAAGATGTCGTACTCCTTCTCCTACCTCACGGTAGTATAACTTCTCGCCTATAGCGATCGCTGGCTTTCGCCAGTTCTTACCACAACGCCTATGTTCAGGCGTGCGGCCGTCCGGTCCTTTGCGGTACCGGCGCATCAGGTCTGCCGCATGTCGCGGAAGCCATGCCAGGACGGGGTCGTCCTCACGTAGAACCTTGCCGATCATCTCTTCTAAAGAAGACCTCAAGACTCTCACCTGCCTCTTGACCTCACGGACTGCATTTTCCGCAAGTCCGTTGCTCCGGTGGTCACCTACCGGGGACTCCTGTGGAACATTTTCCACTCCAGCCTCACGGGCTGCCTGCTCCTTAAGAGCAACAATCGAATGCTCACCATCACTCATCATAACCGCTCTCCGATAGCCTAAGTGCTTCAGAAAGTTGGCAAAGAACTTCACGGCATAGGGTGTAGGACCCTTTGCATCCACATCAACGACTTGGTGATCTCGAACGTGTTGTTGCGCACCTCACCCAACAAGCTCGTGCGACCCCTGTTCCGATTCAAGAGTCCCCGCCAAAAGCCGCATCAATAGCCGAAACAGCTACGGAATCAAGCGCGGCTAAAGCCTCAAGTCAGGGCACAGTTCCCACAGGAACCCATCAGCCGGTTGGAGCACCTCAGGTTTCAGATTCACAAGATGCCTCCGGTGTTGCCGCATCGTCGCAAGGGAATGCTTTTACAACCACGGACAACGTCCGGCTGTCTTTGATCACCAAGATAGGCTTGGCTCTTCCGTCTTCCTTCATCTGTAGTCATGAAGGTGTAGTCGCTCGCGATGATGGGTAAACCGTCATCTCTCTTACTCTCCTCATCTCGAGACCTGTGTTGCTGACCCAGGCCTCTCCCGGCAACGCAATGCCGGCACCAAGTCCTGTACTGAACATGGCCTGTGGACTCATGCTCGTCCACCTCCGCCCTTGTCGGGTTCGCTGGTGCGTGCACCAACGCAGGCGGTGCAATCTCCTCACTCTCCTCTTCTCTCTCAGGAACACCCTCAGGTCGGCCC